CTAACCTCAGAAGTATGGAAGGCTGAGTCAACCTTGAGCCGGTCAGGATCAAATTCCTGGCAGTCGGCAATACTGCATTCTAATCACTATGCCACCACAGCTCTTATTTCACTTTAAATGTAATGGTTCTTGTCTTATTAATCTACCATGGATATCAAAAAGGCTTTGACTGTTTTGAAACATATTTAAAAGCATGCCTTTACTTTGTAATACCCTTTAAGTTTCTTAACTTTTCCATGCCTTATCATTGTATTGTTTGGTATGGTATGGTATTGTCTCTTAAATCATCCCTGGAGGTTTGCCTTTCCTGACAACTGATCCTGCAAATGCTAACACCATGGCCTCAATCTCTGACTTCCCGTGTTGAACAGAAAAATGAGGCACAGAAGGTTACTTTCGACAGAATCTCTATAGAATCAAGGATATCAAGAAAACAGAATCTCTTGAATGTTAGGAATGTACTGCTCCTATTCAAATGAATGCTGGAAAAGCTTCCTTTAACTAGTTAACAACAGAAATAGAAATCTCTCCATCATTCCATTTGTTTATAATATTATATATTGAAGACTTCACCACCTTTCACTGTGAGATTATACTATGCACCCACAAGCTGCCAAATACAAATATGCCAAATATAATTTGAAGAGGAACATATTCTTAATAAGATTTTATATAGAAAGCAACCTCAAAGAATCACTGCTGTGGATAATTACGGAAGTTATCTTAAATAAATGTATGCTAATTAAATGTAATTTTTAAACCCTGGTTAAAAAAAATCTTCATATGTTTATTTGGTTATTTTCACTTAAGACCATTTTCAGCATAAGAAGTAGACAAAATCATTTCATTTGTTGCTCAGCACAGTTGTTGTTGTTGTTGTTTTTAAATCTATTGTTATTGCAGGATCCAATTTGGGTCAGTCACTGGGACCAGAGATTTAGTCTTCCAAGTTTTTGGACTCATGCTGGAGTCCATCCTCATGGAACTTTTTTCTCATCAGAATGTGAATGGGCTCCAACATGAGCCCAAAAGTTCAGAAGACTGAGCCACTGTTCCCGGTGACCAACTGTGATTGGATCCTGCAACACGTATATTTGCCTTCATTTGTTTGTTATTTATAAGAAAAAGGAAACTATTATCAAATACTAGCATCAATTACTGATAAAGTAATACTAGTATTTAAGAAAGATTGATCTTGATATAAAGCATGATAAATGGATTTTTTTTACCCAACCCAGGGGATGTGTGAAATCATGAGTGGTACCACTATTATTAACATCCCTACATCTATTATTTTCTTTTACTGTTTTATTAATTTACTTTTATAGTTGTTAATGTTTTTAAAATAATTGTTATGCAATGCTTTTAGGTTCTATGTATCTATATTTGTATCTATTCACACACATACTGTTTTATTAGATTGGATAATTGTCCTTATAACTGTTGTAGAGAAGGTTAGAAATCTCTTTATATATATATTTCTTTTCTCTTTCTTGCATTTTAGCTTTTGCTTTCATTTCTTTTTCACTTTTAATCTTTATTTTTAAAATTTTGATAAAATTATATATTATCAAAATATATAACTATACAAATATTTTGTATATTATACAAAATATAAAAAAAGAACCGCTGTACAACTGCTCCAACTATCTGTCAAAGATCTCTTTCCTTTGAAAGTTATTTTTTGCCATCTATAAGCTACATGATCTTCTGGGATGCTAAAATCCAAACGAAACTTTTCTTTCTTTTTTAAATTTCCCATCTTTTATATTTTATCCCTCTACTAGAACATTCCAACTGAGCTTTACATTTAATAATTGAAAGACTCAAGATATAAGTATCTGCACAATAATAATGCAGATGTTTATATCAGATAGATTATGTAGTAGAAAAGCTCCCCATAACTCTTCTTAGGAAAAAGAATTCTAAGTTACATCAGCTATTCAGTTATTCTTAAATCTTGAGAACTTTCAATATAAACTTTATTAAAACTCTACACATAAAATAGACATAAAAACACATATACAAAAACATACAAACATATACAAAAACAAAACAAAACAAAACATCTAACATAAGTAAAAAAATCCATAGTCTATTTCCACTCTTCACTTTCCTCAGGCATCCATTAACCATTTCTTATATTGTTTTAATCACTATTTACATTTCCACGATCTTCTCTTGTTTAATCTATAAAACCCTTTATCATCAAACTATTTTTCTCTACTTTTGTAATGTAACCCCAATTTTTAATAAAACTCTCTGTAGATTTCTTTCTCATTAGATAAGTTTTGCCCATCTCTGACAAGTCTGTAAATTTAAATAGTCTTCACTATTTAAATACTAATACTCTTCATTGTTTGAAGCTTCTTTAGTTTTCCATTTCTATGGATATAATAATCTTGCTGCTGTAACAATGTGCAACAATAAGACACATGCTTTTTACTCAGTTCTTCTTCCATTGACTCTAATAAGTAAAGGTCTTGTTTCATCTAAAAAGGGATTTCCATTTTTTTTCTCCAATGTCCTGTGGATCATCAACCAAAAATTTTGGTCCTTCACAATTCCATTACATATGATAATAGGTTCCATCCACTTTTCCATATTGCCAAACTTTACTTGAAACGTTTTTATACATTTTTTTTGTTTCATAGGTGTCAAATGACATCAATATATAATTTTATAAAGCTAGTCTCTTAAATTGTTGAGCAGAGTACATTAAATACTTTAGTCCACATTTTTTTCCAGTGCCAATATTGGCCCAAAATTTAGCATCCATTTAATATTACATCCCTCAACCTGTTCAAGTTTTGTTTTGTATTGGTCACTGGTTTCAACCTTTTGAGCCAGCAAGTAGATTGTTACCTTTTAAAGAATTTTGGTGTCAGGTTCCGATGTTATCTCAAATAAGACATTGATCTTTTGTATGAACCTGGTCTTGTCCAGCTTCAACATGTTCTTCTTCAAATACTTCATTACATCTACCCAAACTCTGATCAAAGTAGACAGCTATATTGGCTTTGTGCCAGATCTTCACAAATATACCACTCAACATGAATATTAAGCATCGCAGAAATAGAAAGCAACAGATTCAGTCTCCAATAATATCCAATGCAAATTCTATTATATTAAACTTATTTTGCTTTTATGTTTCATTAACAACTGCAGTGATTTTGGACACAGTGTTGGTCTGTTGAATAAGAGCTTTTGTTACAGAAAGAATGGTTATAAACTTGGGAAAGTAGAATGCAAAGATTCATAATGGAAAAAAATTGCTATGAGATTCCATTGTCAAATTGAACAGTATATTTAAAAGCCTACATTTAAAAAATCCTTCATCATTGTACTGAATAAAACGTTTGTATACATTAATAGTCTGGATATATTAAAATTATTCATGAACTATTGATATTTTCCAGATAACCATTTCTTTATTTATAAGTTCAGATTTTATTCTCTCTAGCCTTCATTCAGGCAACCCTCATATACAACTTCCAAAACTATATAATTACTGAAGACTTTCAGAATTAATAGCATCTAGTCTTACAAAGCACTGAATGTATTTCAAAGATTTAATTTGATAAGGCATACTGTGTAGCGTTTACATTTGCATCATGCCTTTAGGTGATTTGTTCTTGAAGGTTCAAATCCTGTGTTTTACTTCCTCTGTAACAACCCATGCTGCACTTCCCTAATTAAACACAGTGGGGGAGATTAGAATCCTAACTTCTCTTTTTTGGGGAGAGAAATATTTGCACATTTTCAAGGCATGATCTGAAAACAAATGCACTATAGAAATATTTGTTTAGTAACATGGAAAACAGCATTTGAAATTGCATTATTTCTACCATTATTCCTGTTGGGCATACCTTTGGTGGAAAGCCAGTTTTGAGCTCATATAATTTGTGAAGTGAACGTAAAATTAGCCCTAAATGGCATGGGGCCAGGTTACCTGCAGAACCATCTTCACCCCATTATGTCAGCTTGTCCCACCCAGTCAGACAGAGATGGTATATTACAGACGCTGTCAGTTAAAAAATTTCAACTGGTGGCACCCAGGAAAACAGCCTTTTCTGCCATTACCGCCACTTTTTGGAACATTCTACCCCCAGAGGTGAGCCCCCCTCCCACTTTCATGGCCTTTTGAAAATGTCTAAACACCTTGCTCTCCATCTTGCTGGGGGTGGGGGTCACAGAGAAGCACGCAATTGTGGGGCTGAATATCACCTAAAGGCCCTCTCTTCCATCTTTTAATTCTGAATTTTACCTATCTTTGCCTTTTATCTAAATTTTATGTACAGTTTTTATGTTTTAATAGTTTACTTGTACTCCTCCCAGAGTCCCTCTGTGAGGGAGATGGGAGGCTTCTAAATTTGATACATAGATAAAAAATGAATAAAATCAAGCAGGAATTATCCTGCCTTAGGCATGAAAGCTGGCCGGGTGACTTTGAGCAAGTCACTCTTCCTTAGCTCAACTCATGTCAAGGGTGGTTGTTATGGAAAAGACAGGAAGAGTAAGACGTATTAGGTATGTTCACTGCCTTGAGTTACTTATAAAAATAATAAAAGCAAGATAAAGTATCTTTAAAAAGTGCCTGAAAGATTTGCCAGCAAATGTAAGATGGATTCAGAAAGCAAAAAAAATACATAAATGCCAAACAACAATATAGTGACTAGGATGAGCTTTAAAATCTACCATCCCAGTTTTATTATTATTTCTTTGTCCTTTTTATTTCTGCAGCCTCTCTGTCTAAGCCTGCCTTCCCAAGCTTTATATGACCAAGGCTATTTTTAGAGGTGACTGATGATCAGGTTTTATTAACTAGTACAAATTCCAGCTGCTAAAGAGGAGCAGCTTCTTCCCTTCAAGCATGCCCTTCAGCAAAGCCACGATTTCCTTAAAATATATATATAGATCATGCTGAGTGGCTGAGTCTATTAAAAATAGTGAGTAGAAATCTTTTTCAGACAATTAGAACATCAAGATTGTTACAGTACCTTCTGCTGCAATCTCAGTCATAATGCTGATGGTAAGAAATGCACTGTGAAAAAAGGTCAAGTTGTATTAGCAGCTCAGAGGATCTGACAGGGCCAATGTTGACTCTCGCAGGAGACAGTGTTTTAAAAGGTGGGACGTCCTCTGCACTTCTAACTTTCTTTGGGTTCTTCTTTTGAGCTACTTTCTCTACAAAGCCCTGCCTTGCCTTCCCCACCTTCGCTAGAAACTAACCCTCTCCCAAGGCAGTGTTCACAGCTACACTAAAGTATCAGCTTCTAATAAAAATAGCCATGGCTCTCAGCAGATCTGTAGCTCAGCTTATTTGGCATCCTAGGCACCACTCAGGGACTTGATCTATTTTATTCAGTTTTAAGCACCCAGCTCCAAACTAGAAAGCCAAGCTGGTAAAAGCAAAGGCAGCACAAAGGAACTGGAAGGAGCTGTCAAAGCCCTAGCCGCTTCTTTTAATATGATTACAGTTCTTTGAGGTCTATGGCAGAAAACATGAAATACAGACTTGACGGTAATCTTATCCAACCAAGCTGAAATGTATTCTTAGCATACTCTTAGCACATTCTTTCCGGGCCTTATTTGGGTTGGGAAGGACACGGTGAAGCCAGCCACAGTGACTGAAGAAGAAAATTTAACTTAGGTAAATTTTCCCCTGTTGAATTCCCTGCTGACATTTAAAATCACTGAAATACTCCATCTCACCCTCTGTTTCTTTTTTTAGTTCTTGCCCCTCAGTTTCTAAGAAGAAATCTGCTGGTTCATACCATGAATGAATCTCTTCCAATGCATTTTCAAATCTCTGAGTGTACATATTAATAGCTATGGTTACTGGCAAATGCAGAGTCCTGATGTTCGCTGGTATCAGTCTAACTCTTGATGGATAGATATTTTTTTAAAATATAAAAAGTTTTTTATTTTTATGTTTAAACAAACAATACATCATTAATTATTCAGTGTGTCAACTGAGTACAAATTTTTGTGTCATCATATCCTTTACCATCATTTTCTTGCCACATTTCTACCATGCTTTTACATTTTAATTTAATTTATTACAACATTTTTTCCAAATTTCTTACATTTATATTAATTTTATGTATATTCATCTCTATCCATTGATAGAATTGCCCCCATATCCTGTAATACTCCTATTCTTCCTTTCCTTTAATTGTCAATGTTAATCTATTCATTTCTGCACATTCCAATATTTTCTTAATTACCTCTTCCTCTATAGGGATTTTTTCTGCTTTGCAATTTTGTGCAAATATAATCCTCGCTGCAGTTGATGGATAGATAATATGTGTGCCTGTTTCGTTTTTAATTTAATATAAAATGTCTGCAATGTCAAAGCTTAGACAACTAAGGGAAGTTTGGAAATCTTCAATGAATTACATGATGCTTTATAATGTCTAGATCAGACTGTGAATTCTCTAGTGTTCACAATGGGATATGTTTAAAACAGCATTTTGAGCAGATGTGTTTGAAACAGCATTTTGAGAACATAGACTGAAAAATCCATACATTTTCAAACCCCTGTATTTTTATATGTACACTCTGTTTTTGTGAAGTGATGGGGGACAAATGTCATATTGTTGTAAAGAATGTTTTATAGAGGACAGAATGCAAGATGAGAATTCTTCAATGTGGCAGGACCCACTATGATTTAGTTTTCCTTTATTAGGCAGGGAGATAGTAGGCTGAAAGTGAGATATTTGATATTTTTTTCCTTGTTACAATCAAACCATGTCCTGCTGAGATTTAGTTTTCCAGCAATTATTCCTCTCTGTAGGAATAATTAGGAAAAGAGATCTATTAGGATGGCCTGCTTCCAGAAGCTGAATGATTCCAATGGATTCTAGAAGATTTAGCTAAATATGGAATACAGAGGTGACCAAGATGGTTGATGCAATAATTTCTAAATTTCTTCTCCCATGACAGAGACTCTTGCCTGAAGGCAATGAAGTAGAGATAGAAGATTATTAGAATGCAGGAGGATAACTTCATGTCAAATCTGATCACTAATAGAAACTCGTTATCACTATTTTATGGTCATGAAGAGTTGAAAAAGCAATTCTCTGAGTAACTTTAGCCAAGCTTCTCCAAAAGGCTTGGTTCTTTTTTGGATCTGACCCAAATAGAGGTCATATAGAACCTCAAGTAGATTGTTGCATCACTTCATGGCTAGACACTTTGAAGGAAAATTGATCAAACGTGTCTATAATTTTATTCTACAGTTCCAATAGTAGAAGTGTCCATGATTGTTTAATCACTTCTCTAAATTAATTTCAGTGTTAAGGCCTGATATAACATCACCACATGCTTGTTCACCCTTGGCACTCATGGGTTGTCTCATTTGGTGAGAAGATGAGGATGCCTAATTAATAAATCAGTGCCTGGTTATGAAGACTAGCAAACCAAAGCTCAGTGCAGACAAGATAGACTCTAAAAGATTAAATCTGTATCTTAGAGGTGCTTCTGGATCAATTTCTGAAATTACAGCATACACTGCATCAGTGACAAGAAACGGCTTTCATCAGTTAGGGCTGGTATGCCAGCTGCAGTCATACTTAGACAGAAATAAGCTCTCTATGATAATTTTTAGATTGCTGCCATATATTTTATATGACCCTGAGCATGCTCCAAAACACCAATTAAATATTGTAGGAAGAATCCTGATTAGAACTGAGTAACATACAGTAAACATAAGCAGCTCTTTTGGCTCTTCAATAGTTCCCAATTACTTTCCATTTAAAACTTAAGCCCTTCACAGCATGAGACCACAGTTTTGAAGTAATGACTCTTTCCATATTGTCAAACCCTTTAAGACTGGCAAACTCAGGAGTTAAAAGTCACTTTGACTTCTGAAATGAATGAATAAATGCTAAGGTAACAGAATCTTGAAAGCCATCCAAAGTTATTCTCCAAATCAACTTATACTAAGAGTGATGAAAGCAGTATTACTCTCTTTCTCACATTTTCCTCACTATTTGGGACAAAGCTTTTTCAGTTGTAACCCCTGATTTGTACGCCTCCCCCATGGTAACAAAAGTGATTAGGGGACTGGAGGCTAAAACATGGAAGAACAGTTACTGGATATATCTAATCTAATGAAATGAAGGACTAGGAGTGACATATTAGCACTGTACCAATATTGAGGGGCTCCTACAAGATGAAGGGTTCAAACTATTTTCCAAAGCACTGAAAAGCAAGACAAGAAACAAGGGTTGGAAACTAATCAAGGAGAGAAGCAACCTAGAACTAAGGAGAAATTGTCTAACAGTGAGAACACTCAATAAATGGAATATCTTGCCTCCAGAGGTTGTGGGAGCTCCAACACGGGAGGCTTTCAAAAAGAGACTGGACAGCCATTTGTATGAAATGATATAAGGTCTCCTCCTCGAGCAGCATGTTGGACTACAACAGGGGTGGGTAAATGTGGCTCTTTTACAACCTGTGGACTTCAACTCCCAGAATCCTGGCTGTCTCAGGAATTCTGGGAGTTGAAGTCCACAGGTTGTAAAAGGGCCACATTTGCCCACCCCTGGACTAAAAGACTTCCAAGATGCTTTCCCACTCTATTATTCTATGTTCTATGGTACCATTTCTTTATCTGTTTGGCACCCGACAAAGACATTCGTATTTTTCTAGGCGTTTTAACGATGTGTTGATGTGACTGTGATATTTTAAGCTTTTTCTTTGCTTTTGTTCTGTTTATGTGATAGCTTATTATTTTTATACCCTCTTGTAATATTTTAATGTATGTTTTCATAAACTCTTTTAATCTATTTGTACAATTGAATTTTACTGTTAACTACTTTAATGGCAAAATATATACTCGAGATTTCAAGAAGATATAAGAACATCTTCAGAAAAAAGTTTAGTTCATGGCTAGGTTTTGTGTAATGCCTGCTGAATTTGGAGCAATAGAGGGACAAGAACAGCTACAATGTCTACTATCAGTGCTATCAAATTACAAAAATCTGTGCCTTCAGAAGTTTTGAACTTTGGTTTCCATCGTCTCTAGCAAGTTTTGAGAAAGGTATATGCAAATATATACCGATAATCTAAATCTTCCTATAGATACAAATTTGCCTATCCTTGATTGCTAATAAACTGAATTTGGTTGTCCCCTTTACTTGCAAGTTCTGTCATCAGCAGACTGTGACATATGAGCAATACAGAAATAAATTCATACAAAGCTGTTCTGATATTCTGTTGCCTATACAGATATTCTTCAACCAATCGCCATTTGTTCAGCAACTGTTCAAAATTATCACAGTGTTGAATGAATGGTGGTTATAAGTGGTCCTTGGAATTCCAGCTCTCCTAGCACCCACATGGTCATGTAATCACAATCTGGTGCTTGGCAATTGGTTCACACAACTGGTTGCAGTAACCTGGAATCACTTGGTCACCGTTTGCAAACTTCCCTGCTGTCTTTCCCAGAAAGTCAATGGAGAAGCTGGCAGGAAAGATCACAAGCCACTGGGGTAGGTCTGCCCCACCTGTTCACTCTTCCTCAGCCTGTCTGCGCTTGCAACATGTCGTCCATTTGCATATCCTCATGCACCCTCCCTGATCCACACTGCTCCTTTGCATGCACACACCACCTGCGATGCACCCTCACACGCCTGCCACACCCTGCACCTCTGACTCAATCTCTTGGAGCTTCATAATGCCTCCCCTGTACTCATGCACACCCTCTCATTTCTTCCCCTATTCTCATCAGAGTGTTTATATTTGAGCTCCCCTTTAGTTAGTGGAATCAAGGCATTCAGTGGTTGTTTGAACATTCGAATTTCATATTCATTTACTAAATACTTTATTTGAAGGTTTAATCCAGCTGGTTTTAAACAGAAACACAGAAGTAATCAGAAATAGATGGATGTATTAAATATTGGGAAGGAGGTTTCTAATTGCCATATTTAATGAATAATGAAATGCTGCCAAAACAACACAATATAAAAAATCAAATACATAGGAAAATTGAGCTATTTCTTTTCTTTTTTTTAAAGTAACCCTTTAACAGAAAGCTTCCTAATAAAGTAGCCTATTGATCATATCTGGTATACTGACAGGATTGGAAGTGCTACTATATTTTGTTGCCTAGAATTGAATAAAAAGCTATTTTCAAGAGGGACATTCATTCTCCTTTGTTGAAGCATAATAATTATAAACAAATGAACAATGAGGCAGATCTTCCATAAAACAGCAAGCAGGACAGTTATCAATGCATTACCTACCCAGCCAGTAATTAAAGTGTGCTAATTGCATTCATAATCTTGCTTGTGCCACGCTGTCAATAGATAAGATAAAAAACTGCTCAAATGAGCTTTCATTACCATGTAGAATTTAATGGGGAAAGTTTTGACATACGAAAAGATGGTTTCAGAAAGGTGTGAAATCTGATGCAAAACTACATTATGTTCAATGAGATTAGTCGGAGAGGTGTGGATATGAGCAAGAATCACA